ATGAGTTTATAATCATATTTTGAAAGCTCTAAGCTCTAATTATAAGGACTGTAAATTGAATTTTAACATTATCTAGAAATTCACTTCTGCTTCCGCAGAAATTCCTCTTTTGACGTCCTACAACTTAGACAGGCATTGTTATGTATTAAGAAACCAAATGGAAATACTAGGAAATGAAGAGATGGAACTTTGCTCCTAGATTTATCGTCGAAGGCTGCCATGGTATTAATGCATAAAGCAAGGAAATGCATTGCTTTGTGTCATGTGACATCTTATTCCTGGCCTTGTTTCGTCTAAGTACCTCTCTCATTCACAATGCCACAAGGATGCAGGCGGTATAGAAGACGTCCCTTTTGTGAAGTGGACAGCAAGGATACAGTCTGTCTTCTATCAACAGACATCAATGAGGGCAGCAGAATGCTATTAATAAATGCATGGGGGTGAATCTTTTGTGACGGTGCACTTTGACCTGCTAGAATCCATTGTTCGGCATGTTTACATGTCTTTGTGTGGATAATTGTATTAAGATGAGGGACTGCGGGTGTGCTTTTTTTGTTGAATAGGTGCTTTGTTAACTGACATTTGCGGCCTCTAAATGGATAGAGAGTTGGTGTATGTAGTAGACGATGCTCTGAAACTGTCAATGTGGGAGACTCGAACATTGTGTGGGACTATATGAGTTTATTAGCTAAATAATAGTACTTGGCTTCTGTTTTAAAGTATTCAATTTTGATTTTATTTTTTATTAATCACAAATGACCAGAAAAGTCATTAACTAATAGTGGATGTCTATCACTAGAATCAGAAGCTTGGGACTCGTATCACATACTGTCTGTCAATCATATGTTAAGGAACTAATTCTATCTGACACACCATCACAGGACTGAGTCATATTAGTCGTGTTATAGATTTCAGTGTTCAGTCAATTTTGACTTATGTCGTGTTCACAGGTGATGACTCCACAGATGAGACCACGCTACTGCAAACCTGGTTCAAACTGGTCCTGGAGAAGAACAAACTGTCGCGATATGAGTCTGAACTCATGATCTTGTAAGTACTGTGACCCCTGTGGGTTTTTTAATCAAGGTTTTTATACATTTCTTACACATGCTCTTGTCTCTAGTGCTGAAGAACTGGAGTTGGAGGACACTCAAAGTCGGCTACAGCAAGACCTTAGATGGCGAATGGACACTGACGGTGGGTTATGATGCATATAATGCTGGTCAAATGTTTAGAATAATAGTTGTTGTTTTTTTACTTTTTTTTTTTAGAGAACTGTCTTATGCTCACCTATATATATGAAGAGTTCAGATGCAAAAGACTCCAGGTGCTGTCTAAAACATTATATATAAATTATATAAAACAGTTTTTTGCTGCTTAATATTTTTTATGGAAACTGCTGCAATTTTTTTCAGGATTCTTTGATAGAAAGTTCTACACATGCTCTTGTCTCTAGTGCTCAAGAACTGGAGTTGGAGGACACTCAAAGTCGGCTACAGCAAGACCTTAGACGGCGAATGGACACTGACGGTGGGTTATGATGCATATAATGCTGGTCAAATGTTTAGAATAATAGTTGTTGTTTTTTTACTTTTTTTTTTTAGAGAACTGTCTTATGCTCACCAATGCTGCATTATTTGATCAAACATTTTTAATTTAAATTGAAATATTACAATTTAAAATGTAATAGAAAGTTCAAAAGAACAGCATTTATTTTAAATAGAAATTTTTGAAATGTTATAAATGTCTTTATTGTCACTTTTACTGTTTACAGTTTCACTTATTGTCATTTCTCAGAGTATTTAAATACACACAGAAACAAAATACCGTTCCTCACCAGCATACTGTAGTGCAAAAGAAATACATACAAAGACATTACAACTTACAAGGTTAAGCAGCCAAAACATTTCCACACTTTATATTCCACACAATTTATAACTCTATAAGAAAATTAATTTGTCCTTTATAATAATGTCATAATGTACTTTATAATGTGCTTAAATAGGAAAAACACCTTGACAGATGACTAGCTGTCAGTGTGCTATAACAATGGTGAAGAGGTAGGAATGAACTGATATAAATGTGAATGTACATGAATGTATTTTGATGAATGTGGAGTGGGGAGGGGGCGCAGTCTGTTCACCATCCTGATTGCTTGTGGGAAGAAGCTGTTCAGCATCCTGCTGGATCTGCAGCAGATACTCCTGTACCTCTTCCCGGATGGCAAAAGTGAAAGCATGCCATGTGACGGGTGGAAAGGGTCTCTTATGAGGAGGGAGAGAGGCGCCAGTGATTTTCCTGGCTGTCTTCACTATCCTATCGAGCTGCTGCTGTTCCTGAACCTTACAACTCCTGAACCATGAAGTGAGGTAGTAGGTCAGGATGCTTTCAGTGGTTCACCTATAAAAGGTGGTAAGGAGATGGGTAGGGAGACCTGCCTTTCTAAGTCTCCAAAGGGAATGTAAGGGCTTTTTTGATGACTGCCATGGTGTTCAAAATAAAGAACAAGTCATCAGACAAGTGAACGCCCAGAAAATTGAAGTTATTGACCCTTTCCACGATAGCACCATCAATGGTTAGTGGTAAGAGTAGGTGGTTGCCTCTCCTAAAATCTATCACTATCTCCTTTGTTTTGTCCACGTTGAGGGCAAGATTATGAAGTCTACACCTTGCTGTAAGCTGCTCTACCTCCAACCTGTATGCAGATTCATCATTGTCACTTATGAGACCCACTACTGTTGTATCATCAGCATACTTAATAATATGGTTGGTGCTTACTCTTGCAGTACAGTCATGGGTAAGCAGGCAGAACAACAGGGGGCTCAAGACGCAGCCTTGCGGAGAGCCCGTATTCACTGTGATGGTTCTTGAAACATCACTGCCCACCTTGACTGTCTCCCACCACTGTGTCAAGAAGTTAAGAACCCAGTTTGTGCTTTAGCAGCATCATATGACCCCTTTAAAACACGTCCAGGAATGCCGTCTGGCCCTACAGCCTTAAGTGAGTTAACTCTGAGAAGGGCCTTTTTAATTTCAGGTGGTGACACCTGGGGTGCCTGGTCACTGGGTGATGATAAAAGCATCTGTGCTTGAGTGATGTTATTGGCCTCAAAACATGCATAGAAGTCATTTAGATCATCTGATAAAGAGGAGTCGTTGTGGCATACCTGCAGGGGAGGGGGCTTGTAGTCAGTGATAGTCTTAAATCCCTGCCCCAACCGCTGTGAGTCTCTGTTATTTGCGAAATAGCTGCTTAGTTTTTGTGCATACAGACTTTTCGCCGCCTTAATATTGGATAGGATAATTGGTTGTTAGAATGATAACATTGTAAGTGGTGGCGCATTTACTTGTGAACAGGAATTGATAGCTGCTGAGGAAGGTGATAGTGTCTTAATTTGCAAGTCAGTGGTTGGTCCCTCAGCCTCCGGCAAACACAAGTTTGTTTTAGTTCTTGATAGTGATGAAGCTCACTGTTTACCAGTAAAACACATGCAGCTTTAAGCCTGTGATTGCTGCAGAACACAGAGGTGTCATTGTGTAATACTTGATTATGATGTCATGCTTATCATACAATATATTTGATGTTATTCAAAGTGATTAAACCTTGTTACATGGTGAAAATGTTATGTGGGCAATATTTTACCTCATTATTGACGATAGGCCTCTCTTTGTATTCCCACCATTTCTAGACTGTGAGAAGAGTGCGAGTGAGCTGGCAGAGGAGCAGAGCCTGCTGGTGGAGATCATGAAGGTGGTGGAGAAAAGAGACAAACTGGTGAGTCTGCTGGAGGAGCAACGGCTGAAGGAAAAAGCGGAGGACAGAGATCTGGAGAGCATGATCCTCTCCAGAGGCTATCAGTTCCACTGGACCTGAACTTCTCACACTGGATGAAGATCTGCTGTACTGACCTGCATGAAGAACTACTTTAGACTGAGAAAGCCTTATTTGAAGATCAGCTTCTGGATCTTGAACAAACTGTAACATGCTTGTTTAATCAAACCCAACTGAATGCTGCCTTGTGTTCTTGAAAAGAAATAAACCAAAAACCAAACACGTGCCTCTTTATTAACTGAAAATGATGAATGTTTCAAACCAGGTTGCACAGCCACAGAGGTGAGAGGACTGACTACAAATGTTATTCACACTGGTGCAATGGTATTTAGTTAATTTACTTGTTTAATTTATCTTGCTGTTTTGTTGAAACTCTTAATGAATGTTTGTTCCGTTCATCAGTAAATATTCCAGTAGAGGCCAAAGTTTAATGGCAGTGACAAAGTGTGTCTGTTGAGTTTTTGTTTGTCTTTTAGTCTCGCAATGAACAGGATATCTTAAGTGACCTAAAATTGCAGCTGTTTCTAAAGTAAAACCAAATATCATTGTTTCAAGAATCAAGAAGTGCTTAAGAAAATGTCTAAATGGCTCTGGTTTTATTTTTGTCTGTCTGTTGCCTTGTGTAATTTATTTAATAAATTTAAAAACAATGAGTTGACTCTCCTAAATATCTTCAAAAAAAAGATTAAAAATGAATTTGAATGTTTAATTTCTGTAAATGTACATAATTATACTAAGACTGAGAATAATTTAGGAATACTGTTATAAGTTTTATAATATTTTCTAAAAGTTTATGTATATTAAAATATAATATGAATATTGTATGTTATATTATAAAAATATAAAAGATTTTATTTACATAAGAATTTTAAAATTTAGTCTCTAAATTTACAAGCTTACGTATAAATATGAAAATATATTAAGAATAATTTTAAATGTTAACATTTGAAAAATAGAAGAATAATAAATTTCAAAACGTCTTGATGTAAAATATTAAGTAGTATTAAAAAGCTTGTTTAAGCAAATCGTGTAAAGTCGGTCATTTTTTTATTTTATTTTTATTTTTTGTATGCATTGTTTTACATTCGGCGCATCATAGCTCAAGGCAGTAATAATAAAATTGGACTCATTATATGATATTGGCAACTCACTACGATGAACTTTCTGAACAGTCTCCCTTAGGAAAAGAGGGTGGGATCAAAGGATAAGGGAAGCTAGTTTTAGAAGGCTGGGCAAATAGCTGGAATTCCGTTTCCGTTCCTGTTCCTGGGATTTTACTAACTCCCTCAGCGGGGGAAATCACATATTATTGACACTTTTCTGTCCATGGTGGTTTGTTTGAACCGATGGCGTCTTCCCCGCAGAAATCTCCGTCCTCTCCAAAGTCGTCAACTCCAAAGTCTCCGTCCTCCCGAAAGAAAGATGACTCATTTCTGGGGAAACTTGGTGGGACTCTGGCCAGAAGGAAAAAGGCGAAAGAAGGTAGCGATTGATCTTAAAATTTCGCGTTCTGAACATTAAACAAACGAACTAGTCATGACAGTTTTGCTGTGAAGTCCTCAAGTTACTACACAACTTATTCAGAAGTCTGAAGAATTCCCTCCTCCAACTACTGTACGGGCGCAAGAATAGTTTTTTTTTAACATGGTCAGCATTTCTATTTCTTATGTACACTTTAAAATTCGAAAAAGAAATGACAACGTGTTTGTTAAAGTGGCGAAAAATGTGATGTTTACATTCCAAGGTTTGTGCCGCTTTCATCAAGCGATGTTCGATTCGCGGACGAATTGTTCTTTTGAGTCGGATCTTTTTAATAAATCAATTTACAAAAGCGCTCTGAGCGATTCGTTTACGAATCAAACTGAATCAGTCCTTGCGTTTCTCCTATTCAGCTGAATCGATTCATTGAATCGAGAACCGTCTCTTTTAAAGGGTTAGTTCACCCAAACATGAAAATTATGTCACTAATTACTCACCCTCATGTCGTTTCAAACACCTAAGACCTTTGTTAATCTTCGGAACACAAATTAAGATATTTTTGATGGAATCTGAGAGCTGTCTGACCCTGCGAATAATTTAGGAATACTGTTATAAGTTTTATAATATTTTCTAAAAGTTTATGTATATTAAAATATAATATGAATATTGTATGTTATATTATAAAAATATAAAAGATTTTATTTACATAAGAATTTTAAAATTTAGTCTCTAAATTTACAAGCTTACGTATAAATATGAAAATATATTAAGAATAATTTTAAATGTTAACATTTGAAAAATAGAAGAATAATAAATTTCAAAACGTCTTGATGTAAAATATTAAGTAGTATTAAAAAGCTTGTTTAAGCAAATCGTGTAAAGTCGGTCATTTTTTTATTTTATTTTTATTTTTTGTATGCATTGTTTTACATTCGGCGCATCATAGCTCAAGGCAGTAATAATAAAATTGGACTCATTATATGATATTGGCAACTCACTACGATGAACTTTCTGAACAGTCTCCCTTAGGAAAAGAGGGTGGGATCAAAGGATAAGGGAAGCTAGTTTTAGAAGGCTGGGCAAATAGCTGGAATTCCGTTTCCGTTCCTGTTCCTGGGATTTTACTAACTCCCTCAGCGGGGGAAATCACATATTATTGACACTTTTCTGTCCATGGTGGTTTGTTTGAACCGATGGCGTCTTCCCCGCAGAAATCTCCGTCCTCTCCAAAGTCGCCAACTCCAAAGTCTCCGTCCTCCCGAAAGAAAGATGACTCATTTCTGGGGAAACTTGGTGGGACTCTGGCCAGAAGGAAAAAGGCGAAAGAAGGTAGCGATTGATCTTAAAATTTCGCGTTCTGAACATTAAACAAACGAACTAGTCATGACAGTTTTGCTGTGAAGTCCTCAAGTTACTACACAACTTATTCAGAAGTCTGAAGAATTCCCTCCTCCAACTACTGTACGGGCGCAAGAATAGTTTTTTTTTAACATGGTCAGCATTTCTATTTCTTATGTACACTTTAAAATTCGAAAAAGAAATGACAACGTGTTTGTTAAAGTGGCGAAAAATGTGATGTTTACATTCCAAGGTTTGTGCCGCTTTCATCAAGCGATGTTCGATTCGCGGACGAATTGTTCTTTTGAGTCGGATCTTTTTAATAAATCAATTTACAAAAGCGCTCTGAGCGATTCGTTTACGAATCAAACTGAATCAGTCCTTGCGTTTCTCCTATTCAGCTGAATCGATTCATTGAATCGAGAACCGTCTCTTTTAAAGGGTTAGTTCACCCAAACATGAAAATTATGTCACTAATTACTCACCCTCATGTCGTTTCAAACACCTAAGACCTTTGTTAATCTTCGGAACACAAATTAAGATATTTTTGATGGAATCTGAGAGCTGTCTGACCCTGCATAGACAGCAACGCAACTGAAATGTTCCCAAGTCCAGAAACGTAGCAAGGAGATCTGTAAAATAATCCATGTGATTTGGGAACATTTCAGTTGCGTTGCTGTCTATGCAGGGTCAGAACTTATTCAGAAGTCTGAAGAATTCCCTCCTCCAACTACTGTACGGGCGCAAGAATAGTTTTTTTTTAACACGGTCAGCATTTCTATTTCTTATGTACACTTTAAAATTCGAAAAAGAAATGACAACGGGGTGTTTTTAAAGTGGCGAAAAATGTGATGTTTACATTCCAAGGTTTGTGTCGCTTTCATCAAGCGATGTTCGATTCGCGGACGAATTGTTCTTTTGAGTCGGATCTTTTTAATAAATCAATTTACAAAAGCGCTCTGAGCGATTCGTTTACGAATCAAACTGAATCAGTCCTTGCGTTTCTCCTATTCAGCTGAATCGATTCATTGAATCGAGAACCGTCTCTTTTAAAGGGTTAGTTCACCCAAACATGAAAATTATGTCACTAATTACTCACCCTCATGTCGTTTCAAACACCTAAGACCTTTGTTAATCTTCGGAACACAAATTAAGATATTTTTGATGGAATCTGAGAGCTGTCTGACCCTGCATAGACAGCAACGCAACTGAAATGTTCCCAAATCACATGGATTATTTTACAGATCTCCTTGCTACGTTTCTGGACTTGGGAACATT